TAGTAGCGATTGGGCATTGGCATTCGCCCGAAGCTGCCAAGAACCAAAGAGGCTGGCAAGAAAAAGTCGTCAAAGTCAAACATACAAAAATTCAGAGGCAGAGGCAGAGGCAGAAAGCGGCAAACTTTTTCAAGCAGCTCCAGAAACTTGTGAAATATTTAAAATTATGGCCAAACACGAGGCTGCTGAATGCAAAAAGCTTGACCCAGGTCGGGGCGGCGACAGGGCTTGCCCTGGCCATTTCAATTGCGCCTCTTAGGCACTTACGACTCTCTCCGTTCGAGAGCAGAGCAAAGCAATGCAAAGCGGCAGAGGCAAAGCGATCCACCCAGGGCCAAAGCAGAGCAAATTGAGGTGAAGTATTTAAGGCCAAAGCGGCTTGAGCGGCCCACCATCCCACCATCCCACCTCCGATGACGATGACGATGCCGACTCATAAGCCGATGAGACAACTGGGGAACAGCTGGCAGCTCGCACTTTGATTGCAGTGGGGGCTTGGGCTGGGCTGTTGCTTATCTGCTTTGTCAGAGATTTTCTCGCTGTTCCTCTTCCCCCACAAAGTGTGTGTGTGTCTCTTGGCAGGCCAACTGTTTCCATTAAAAAACCATTTAAATATTATCTACAGCGATTTCCTCCCTACGCCTAAGCCACATGCGTCGACAGACAGCCAGACATTCGCGACATTCAGATACAGCTGGAGGACGGCTGCGTAAGGAATCTCCTTTTGCATTAATGAGCTTTGAATATTTCGAACTTGATTTTATTAATTGGATACACATCTTGATTAACTTTATGTCTGAGGCACAAATACACAAACATATTTCGCATCGTTTGACGCACCAATTACAAATGCAATTACAAGTGGCATTAAATGAAATTAGCTGGCAGATTGTTTCAATGATTTAAGTGGCCAATGAAAGGTTTATGGCCCATGCCATTCCTTTGTTTGGAATTATTTTGCCTAAATATTTAACAGTTTGCCTAACCATTGACATTTTTCCCTGACAACATTCTCGAATTTTGTTCAAAGGCATTTTCTTTTTCTCCAAAATATGTAGACTCCATTTAATGGGCAGGAATTTGGTTAAAATTGCGGTTATGGCAGCTTAATACATTCATATTTGTGTAAGTCGACATGCCCAGATTTTATCTGTAGAAACAATTTGTCATTGCTGTGACATCTTGTTGCTGCCCCATTAAAATCGCACACGGAACGAGCGGGTGAGCGGGTGAGCGAGCCGAAAAATATTTGCTTGCCGCAGATTTACATTGCAGTAATTGATTTAATTTCAATTGTGGACCGTGTTCGTCTCTGGCTGGTCGGGAGTCCATCCCCATCCATACACGAGTATTGATAAGTCAAATCGAATGGCTTTGGGTTGGGGCAGGGGTGGCGGTAGTGTGCCTCTGTGTGAGTGAGTGGCCCACAGAACTGCGATTGATAAATATCAGAGTGTTTTTAAAGCTTATTTTTCAGATGTCCAAACGGGAGACGACTGGCAACGGGCGACAAAAATAAGTAAACAAGAGCCACAACTACAGCAGCAGCAAGTACAGTGGGGCCTCAGAAAAGAGATTGCGGTTTTGGTCTATTTTAATTTAAGAAGAGACCTGCATAGATGGTAGAAGAAGTGAATAATGATGATCCGATGAATGTAAACCTAATTTCGACCAAGGTTCATATAAATGAACAAAATTTACAAATAGTTTAAAGACTTCTCGGAATAGTAACTGACATTTATGATTATCAAATTTACTCTTTTCTTACTTCCTTCCCCAGCATAATAAATTTAAATTCAAATACTTCCATTTATCATAATTCAGTTGCTGCACATATTATCTGTAGGCAATGATAATCCCTTGGGTTGAGTTTCCACTGTAATAAAGTTGATTGCAGCAGTCGGTGGCAAATTGAATATTTGCCCGTATCTGAGAGAGAGAGAGAGAGCCTCTGTGTGTCTCTGCAAGTGAATGTGTGCGATTTCTGCTCGTCTCTTTTTTCTCTGTTTGCACGCGTATTTGTTCGCATTGTTAAGTGTTCGTTCGCTTCACCATCCACAAGCACAGCATCCACAACGGCACAAAATATCTGTATGATAAATGCAAAGTAGTCAACGAGAGAGAGAGAGAGAGAGAGAGTGAGCGGGGAACTGAACTGAGAGGGAGAGAACAGATTCGCTGGGAACTGTGTTCCACCATTGTTAACGGTTGTTTGCGAGTGGATGATGTAGTTTGTGTCTCTGTCTGTCTAAGAATTTCAAGCTACCAATTTATCATATCAAGCAACCCTTCGCTCTCTGATTCTCCCTACCACCGTACTGCGCCGCCTCAGCTGTTGCTTCGTTGGCTGTTTCCACTGTACTCCAATTTGTTGTTGTTTTTGTTCGCGTCTTCTGCTCGTTGTTTGTATGTATCTCCTCCTCCTCCTCCTTGTTGATGTTGTTCGAGGCATCCAGTGTCTTATGCCAATCTTTGGGCTCTATCGATTTTCTTTTGTTTAATTTACTGGACCTCTTGCCGCGGGGGTGTGTGCGAAGCCCTTTCAGATTTCGTAATCTAGTTCGACTCGGGCTCTTGTCTTTCTTGTTTATTTGTTTGAGTCGAGCTCTTGATAACGTTTGAGTACGAGCTGCCGAATTGAATTCATTTCCCCTGCCCCCTCTTTGTTATAAGTGCGAGTACGCTAGCACCCAATATGTGTGTGTGTGTGTGTGTGTATTGAGCATGGTATGGTGGTGTGCGTTATTTACAATTTAGTTGCTGTTCACTGCACAGCTTTGACAGCTCGCTCTTTCGATCAGCTGTTTGTTCACTGGAAATTCTAGGAAAAAGATCATTTTTATATTCAAAGCAGGTGAGCTTACGCTTCACATTCCCAACAGCCAGGGAGCGAGCTTTAATAGTCGAGGAAACAACACTCATCTAACGGGACGCAGTTCCAGTGCGCGTTCCAGCAGCAAACAAAAAAAGATCCAAGAATGCCAAACAGCTTCTACAGAAACAGCTGATCCACGAAATCTCTCTCAAGCCAAAATCTCGCTCAGGAATACATTGCCATGCATTGGCTGTTTATGTTACCCCCGGCGCTTATCGTGAGGAGGCCACATACAACTTGTATTAATCAGCGTTTTGGAATTACTCACAAGACCACAATAGGAGCAGGGCGATAAACGTGCCACTGCTGCTGCTGCTGCTGCCACAAACGTCGTCGATAAGAGAACCAACTGCGAAAATGTGTGTTTTACCAAAGTTCTCGCTCTCCATCGCTCCCGCTTGTTCGCTCTCTTTGCTCGGATTGTTTACAACCCACTGAAGAGAGTAGGCAAGCAAAAGCAAAAGCATCCTCAGAGAGCGGGGATGGATGGCTGCTCTCTTTGTGCACTATAAGCGTGTGAGCGAGTGACAGAGAGAGAGCATAAGCTGTGCTGTTCTCTCAGTGGCTGGCTGGCGGCTGCTGCGCCGCCAATTTGCAAGAAAATTTAGTTCGTTTACAGTTGGTTTTGGTGGGCAAGTTGTGAAAATCGCATCGAGGAGAGAAGAGCACAGCAGCAGCAGCACACACCACGTCGTAAAGGAGGAGTTGCCAACACGCAGCAGAAAGTGGCAGCTACCAGCAGCAACAGTGGCAACTACCAAGTGGTGTAAAAACTAAGTTAAAGTTTCCCCCAAAATCAAATTATCGTGTTTTAAATTGTGGAAATGAGCTTGTTGCTGCGGCGGGCGCCTCTCTCGCTGCCGCTTAAATAATATACACACACATTGGCAAGCACTCGCAGGCATACATACACACGTAAGGTACATAGACACAATAATCCATACACGTATGTGTATGCCTCACGTGTGTGTGTTTGTGTGTGCGGTAAATTTTGCCCGTGTTGCCGAACCTCGTTTGGAGATTTCTGTGTGCGTTGTGTGGTGGCAGCAAATAGTTGTTGCAAGGCCTTCGAGCAGTAACAAACAAACAAAGCCAGCATCCATCATCCCCCAATAAGTGGCAGCAACAGCGACGACTGACGACGACGACTGACGCACACACACATCAGCAGCATCGAGCAGCGAGAGCGGCAGCCACAACAACGTTGTTAATTGAAATAAATTGAAATAAATTCCACAACGTTTGCTGCTCATATTGTTAATAAAGGAACGCGCCAGCGCCACGACAGCGACAGAATCAACGGCAGAAACAAAAACAGTGAACCATCTCATCAGCCGCAAGTCGAAAACAAACCAAAATCAGGCAAGCATTTCTATTCCAACAACAAAATATTAAAAGCTAATTGAGTGTGGTGCCGAGTCCCGCCACCCCTCCTCCTCTCAAGTTGCAAATAATCAGCATAATGCGTTCGGCGGCTCGTTGAATTTTCTTGCGTTTAATTTCTTTTGGTATCAGCGGCAAATGCGTGGCAAATACATTTTTTTATTTATTTTTAGACGCAAGTGTGCGGTGAGTCCGCGAACAAGTGTACAAAGACTCGTTGCAGCATCGTTCGAAATAAGTTCACAAAGAAATTGGCAAAAAAAAAGCAAAGACTGCCTGCAAAGCGCAGATCTCTTGTTCCACATTTGGTGGCTTTTCGAATTTAGTCAAACGATCTGCCACTCCTAGGCTTAGGAAAGTTTCACTCCAATTCCAACCCTTTGCAATCGTCAGCAGAAAAGTTCTCTCAAGATAAACCAAATAAATAAATAAATAATCATTTCGCATTTCGCAGAAACGACACACAATTGTTTATGTTTAGACGATTGGCGGTGGGTTTTTGATTTCATTTCGAAGAGCACTTTTCCATTTGTTTACAACTGGAATAAATATATATTTTTGCGGTTTGTGTTCTTGGCAACCAGCAACAGCGCCTCAGGTGGTGCGGCAAAGTACACCTGAATTATAGCAAAATGCTGGCAGCTTTTGTTCTTTCATTTTTATTTGATTTTCTCAAACTTCATTCCTTTTTGCGGATTCCATAATCAATTTAATATTTACATTGTTTTCCTCTACTGTTTATTATCTCAAGCTCATTGCTCAAACCCCGCTCAAAGTCAATTGAATTTATTTGTAAAACAAATATAAGACCCAAACCCACGCCAAGGACTCGGAATCGGACTCGTACCCAAGGGTTCATTGAACTCCCTCCCTAACCAGCCTCAAGGACCCACTCGGTGCGGCGACCCTTACCCTTTACTTGTGTGGCAAGACGAGCGCCGAAAAGTATGCAACGGCCAACGGACCATCAGGGCATAAACTAATATTAACGATTTTCTCACATTACTTCACTTCCCTACAGCATCCCACCTCAGTGGGCCAACGCACACACAAATACACACAAAACTCTCACTGACAAGTGGACCAAAAGGCGGACATGCGCAAATATCATTTTGGTAGTGGCAGAAACACAAAAGTTAACGTTAACAGCAGCGCCTAAGAGAGCGAGAGAGAACGCGCAACGGGAGTGCAGATTAAGAGAGCGCTCGAAAGTCCAACCAAAGAGCGAGAAATGGCCTTCTCGCGTCACAACATCGAAAAGCGCCGACTCATCGAGCTAGTGCGCCTGAATCCCATCCTCTGGGACTGTCGCCTGCCACACTACAAGCGTTCGGACAAGAAGAAGGCCATCAAATGGAACGAGCTGGGGCGCATGTTCAATGTCACTGGGGAGCGAGTGCAGCGCACCTTCACCTCACTGCGGGAGATCTTTCGCAGAGAGTTGAATCACGAGAAGATGCTGGGCACAACGCGCTTCAAGTCCAAATGGGAGTACTACGATGCCATGGCATTTCTCAAGGAGGTGATACGTGAGAGGAAGTGAGTTCAAAAGTAAATTTGGTAACAGTCTAGAAGCGTTAACTAAAGTTTCTCCTCTCTTGCAGATCGCGGGAGCGCGTTAAGCCCGGTCCCACGGAACCAGCACCCAGAAACAACAACAACAACAGCTCCAACAACAATAACAACAACAGCAGCAGCGCGGCCATGGATGAGTATCAATACTTTGCGCCCAGCGATCCCAACAATCCCAACAATCAGCCGCCGGCGCAGCCACAGCCTCAACCAAAGACCAATCCTTCACCCAGCCTCCTGCCCAGCCTCAGCCAACTGCCCGCCGCTTTGCTGCCACAGGCGCAGCATTTGCAGGCGCTGCAACTACAGCCCGATGTGACGCTGACCTCGTTGAGTGCAATACCCAAGCAGCCCGTGCCCGCTGCGCCTCCCTCGCCCGCTCAGGTGCTGTCCAGCTCACGTTCCTGCAGCTCCTCGCCCTCCATCTACATCAAGGATGAGCCGGGCTCGCCCGAGGAGGCGGAAGCAGAGGGCAGCGCCACAAAGCTGGCCACCATTCGCCCGCAGACCAAGCAGCAGCTGAAGGCGCGTCTGCAGCTGCCGGCAGCAGCACCCAAGAGCGCCTCCATCTATGCCACCTCGCCGCCACGCCTCATCATCAATGCAAACAATGAGCTGATCGATGCGGATGCTGGGGATCTGGATGAGGATCTGGATGACTACGACGAGGATGACGACGACACGGGCCGCTACTCGCCCGTGGTGGATGTGGATATGCTGGGGCCCGATGGCCGCTTCTCGCCCGGCGGCACCAGCAGCTACACGCGCGTGGGCGGCGGCGGCGGCGGTGGAGGCGGCGGTCGCGCGCATTCCCAGCCGCGGCATCTGCCCAGCCCCCGGGAGCTGCTGTACATGAAATTCGGCGACTTTCTGGCCGCACGACTGAACACCCTGAACGAGACTGTGGCCAATGAGCTGATGAACAAGATACTGCTGCTCATAGCAGAGAAGTGAGCGGCAAGAGAGCGATGAGGAATGCTCAAAAATATGATTGAATCGACAAAGGAGTGGTGAGTGGAGCGCTCAATTAATAAGAATATTTTTTAAGCCTTAATTAGTAAGGATCCAGCGAAGGGTTCCCAGATCCCCTGCAGCAATTTCTGTGCCAGCCTCCAGGCTACTTCTGAGTTGATGATCCTGCAGGATTTGTTGTGGGAATTTGCTCCAAGAATTTCTTGCAAATCGTTTGCAAATATGTAGAGCTTTGGGGGCTACGAAAATGCTTCAACTAGTTGGCGTTGGCTCTTGCACTACGAGAATTTATTGCACTGACCAACAACAAACGGCACACACCACAGCACACACACATATTTAAATTTCAAGTTTTATTTACACACAAAATGCCAGGGAGCCATAAAAAAGTTTTAATTTCCGGACATTGAAGTGGAGCCCAGACAAACGCACAGACAGTGCCCAGAGACTCACACACAGCCGGACGGAACGTTGCCAGTTTGGAGATTTGAGAGCATTTCACGCATAAATAAAATGCCTAGAACTCTGCCACATGACAGCAGCCCAAAGCTCTAACCCTAACACCGATTGGGCCCGTCCTTCCATGGAGGAGCTAACTGACAGAACTGGGCCCTCCATGGCAGAGCTAAAACAGACAGCATGAGCGAAGCGGAGCCGAAACTCAAAAATTAGAGCAGCAGCAAAGACGAGAACAAGCGACAATGGGGATACACAGGCTCTTGGCTTTGAAATCGGAACTGCAAACTCGGACTTGGGGCAAGAGGCTGCCGTGCTAGGCATGTGCTATGCGAATATTTTGCACACTTCGATGGGGATTTTGCAGCCTTCATTTATGGCAAATTGCCATTCCCTTTGGTCAGCTGATTTGCCGTGAAAGAAATTAATTTAGCTTTAGGTGAAATGAGATTAAAAATTGTAACGAAAAGAAGAGTTTTTCCCACTAAAAATAGAACCAGAACTTCTACTTAGACTGCTCTAAATGTGCGCCTTGCCTGTTGGGGTTTTAGCTACGAGAACTGTGTCACAGATGGAGACATGTGTGGTGCAGCCTCTATGCATCGATGCATCGCCTCACCACAGGGCCAAGCCAGTTCTGTTCCTGCATTTGTATCTATACAGATACAGGATATCTGTAACCGGGCCTGCAGGAGCGTCTGTATTTACGATTTTGTAATATTTATGCAGCGACGCCTTTGGTGTCTGTGCCCTTTAGATGCCATTGCGGCTGCCCTTTCCCTCTATACCCATTCAATGCAACCGACAGGCCAACAGCCCAGCCCGCTAGCTCCACTCTTATCTATGGTCTGGGCCAAGTTGCTTTACGAGCAGCCTCGGATTTGAGTGTGGCAAGTGGCAGCAGGGAGCGAGAATAGCCAGCACAGTGGGTGGCATGTCCCCGACCTTTTATGGATAGTTACAGCAAGTTTGTTGGCACTTACAACATTATAAATTTGCCATAAATTATCATTTTATGGTTGCAGCTGATGACACGCGATGTGGGCAACAAAAGATACTTTTGATCCGCAAAATGAGCATTAAACGGGGCCAGCAGCAGCAGAAGCATCAGCCATTTACCATCATTGGGAAGTGTGCATTTGATAGGATCGATAAATTGCAGAGATAAATATGACATATCCAGTGGGGTAGGGTTACATTGTGTGGCGGCAGCTCTCATCTTTCCAGCATTCGAAATTCGCAGTAAATAAACTCAACATTTCCTTGTCTAGGCTGCTGCTGCCACACACTCTTGAACTTTGGACTGCTGTCTGAGTGCCAGATTTCCCAAACACTTTCCACACACACTTCCGCCCGTTTGCATTTCCGCTCAAACAAAAAAAAAAACAAAAAGAAAGAGAAGAAAAAATCAAATCTCGGTTGGCTACAATGTCTGATGTACGCACTCCGCCTCCATGCCACATTCTCAATGGGGCAAGTTTTAAATGGCGGCGCTAAAAAGTATTGCACAGTCCTCCCCCCTGCCACACCCCCTTCCAGCGTCCACCCTTTTTGCACATAAAATGCATATGCAAGTTAATGTTTACAATAGTCGTAAAAGTTTAATGGATTTTGCACAGCCAGCCACCAGCCAGCACGGACGGGGCTTAGGATCGTAACTTTCGTAAATCAGTTTTTTTTTTTGGGCAGACTGGGGGGTGGGAGTGGTGTGTGTGTGCCCCCGAAAAACTTTCGCGCTGTTTGTATAATCAAAATGCATTTATTTGATTAATACGCCGCCATCCTTCTCTCGCCGAAAAATATTTGGAAAAGCTGCTGTTTCCTTGCTTTGTTTTTCTCTGTTTTTCTATTGACTTTTACACAGTCGGCTCTCAGCGTGAATTTACTAACGAGGTGACGAACCAATAGCTTATTCACCACGCGCAGAGAGACAAGCGCTAGAAAGGGACAGGGATCGCCACTGTAGTGAAGACGTTATTCAACTTGGGTTGAAGCCGCAGCTAAGCAAATTCACCTTTGGGGTATATTTTGTACTAACATTTTGGCAAGGGTTTGAAAGTGGCCCTTGATTGCAGCTTAAAGGCTTCCTTTAAGTTTGGCACAACTAATTCATTAAACTCGACAAAATGCAAGTGCAATTGACAAATTATGTTTGCAACGGATACAAAACACAGCGCACAAGACTTTCCATGGGCCTCCTCGTATGATGAATTTATCATTTGGCTTTTGTCTCTCAACTCACTCTCGGAGCGATTTCTGTTTGTGATTGAGTGGATGCCATTGAGGTCCATCATCTAATGAAATGCATATGCCAATCAACATAATTATAACTTTGAATGGAGTGTGCGTAGAGCCACACCCAGCACTGAAAGGGGCAACAAAAACCAGGGCAGCAGGAGCAAGGGGGGGAGAGCTGTGGCAGAGACGCATCCAATGAATCGAATCTGCAGCAAATCTAACATGTGTTTAATGCTGATCGAATGCCAGGATACCCCACAAATGGCTAGTTAAAGGATATACGTTTCATGTGGAATACACGTGCATAAATCATGGTCCTGCCTTGTGCATCGACATACCCTTGGGTGCATGCTGCCTGCCTTCTGTATAATAATGTTAACCCAAGGAAACTTCTTGTCCCGAGTACGGGGAGCTGTGGGCTGTGGCTAGGCCTGAACTATAACTATGAGTAGTATCAATATTGACAGCCATTAATATGGCATTTTATGCAATAAGCACAGAGACATTGATGAGGCAGGTCCTGTGTCTCCTGGCAGTTGCTGCATTTTTAATGAGCTCCCCAGTGCAGAAGGCGCCTCGCCTCGTTCGTAGCTTCCGCTGCCGCTGCCTGATGACTGGGGAAAGGCTTCCGTCTGCGATTGGAAATTTTGCCAATCCCCCTGCCACGTGGAGGACTTAATTTCAGAGGTAGCTGTGCCTGGGGTGGGCTGGGCTGGGGCGGAAGGCAAAACGGAAGCGCGCAGACGACACACACGACGACGAGGATCCGACCTGAACTCGTCTTGAATGCCACCTCTCATCTCCTTCGTATTAATGGCCGCAGGGCATGTCAAAGGAACTGATGACGCGCCGCCACCGTCGCCACCGCCGCTGAGTCTCCGGCACCCGACGTGCACTGACTGCAATCATGGCAACCAAAAGCTCACGATGATGAGGCCCCCAGGTATGGTTAGCTGCGCCAGCTACTTATTGTCCGTGCCGCATGGACCCTGCACTGTCCCATCGACTATGATGCATATCAATCAGGCAATCGCAAAAATCACCCAAGAAACAAAAAAATAAACTTACACCAGCTGCCGCCCCGGCACACAGATTGCTCAAAGGATGTAAGCACGAAAAAAATAATTGCCTGGAATTTATTTGCCAGATTTCAGTCATTTTTGTTGGCAAATTCATAATTTTGATTGCATGAAAAGTTGCGACAGTTGTTTAAGTTTTTGCTGTGCGACAGAAATTAGCGCGCCGGAGCGAACTTTGAACTTTGGCGCGCTTCGACATCACTTTGAGAATCAGCCCAAAGTTTTCACTGCAAATAAATTGTGTCTCATAAGCTAATGAAAATCCCGAAGGCTGCGCAATTAAGTTGCAAATGCAGCAGACAGACAGCGTGCGGGGCAGGGGGCCAACAATTAGCCCAGATTATGTTGAAAATAAATGCCGTTTTTGCCAATTAGGAGCCAAAGCCCCATTGCTTATTGTTTTCTAAACATTTGCAGGCCAAAATGCTTTTTGGGTAGTTCTTTTTTGAGCCAAGGACACTCTCGATGGCCACTCCACTCGATGCCACTCGACTCGTTTATATTTTTCGGCTGGCCACAAAAATTGATTGCCGTAAATGTCGAGCCAGGCAAAGGCAATGTGGCTGTGGCTGTGTCTGTGGCATTTCTAAATAAATTACAGACTGAACGAGCGAGAGTGGTTTGGTTTTAGTTCCAAAAAATAGAAATATCAATTGCTGAATGCATTTGCCTCCAGCCAACTGTCGCTGCGTCTTGGTAGATTGTTTGTTCAGGGCTACACAATTAATTACCACTAAAAAGTGTAAGAGAGTGAAAGAGTGAGAGTGAGCGGCAGAGACAGAGACAGAGACAAGAACAGACTAATTACATTAGCTGCCACAGCGATTTGTCTGCCCGCCTCAATCAAAATGTTGCAGGCAGGCAGGCAGACTGCAGACTCTCACGGGTAGCTTGCTGCACAGAATGTTGCCCACAAATCACTAGGAAACATGATGACAGCATACGCTGCTGCGCCTACAGGTATGCAACAGTTCTTGAGCAAGCCAGAGCACAACCTGTGCAAAGGCAACTCAAGTGGGTGCAGAGTGGTGCAGGAGTGGGTTGCAGGCGCTCGGCTGTTTATGCATTTCCCTAATGAAATGCAAAGAAAACAAAGCCTGCCCCAGACCCCATGGAGCTACAGTGCCATTGCCAGTGCCAGTCTCAGGTTATCCGCCCTGCGATAGGCAATGCAAATTTCCGCCAGAGCCCTTCTCCTTGCTGCTCCTGCTCCTGCTCCTGCTCCTGCTCTGGCTGAGTGGTAATTAAATATTTATTTTCTCCATAGCTATTTGCTTTGATTAATAGCTAACAAAAATGGGCTCGAAAATAGAGCAAAAGGAAAGGCCAGAGACTTGCCGGATACCCTAACAGACAATAAATGGAAGAAAATCAATGGATTTGTGTGCTAAAGAAACCAAAACTAGGAGTATAAAGGGAGCACATATAACCCACCAATCGGTTAGCCAAATTTGAAGGCTTCTTGTTAATGTTCTCTAAACATTTGCAGCACCTTTTTTGGGCAGTGTATTACAGCACGAGTGGCGATGGCCGCTTCATGTTCTCTGAATGTTTTTAATATTTTACAATTTTACAATTTCCCAATTGTTTTCCCTGCCCCAGCCACTGGCAATCCCTTTGGCTTTTTGTTTAACTTGAGTTTGAGGATATTCTGTTGGTTTTTTGTTTCCGTAAATCAAACACTTGGAGCGCAAAATCCGGGGTCCCTGGCATTTCATTTCGATAATGTGTTTCGGATTTGACAATTGATTTGGGTAAGCGGGTGGCGGGGCAGGAGGGAGCTTAGGAGCCAGATTAAGCTGCCCAGCAAAGTCGCTTTTGAGTTGTGTATTAATAGAGTTTTGTCAGCAGCAAACTGTCGTCGGGAATGTGCTGGTCTGTGCTGGCCATGAGTCATCGGGCACCCTTGGGGGTGTCGCATTCACTTTGCATATTGACACGTCTGCATGGCTAGTGTGGCATGAGTAATTTATTATATTCCAAGGCGCCAAACTGGGGATAAGCGAGCGACAAACGGAGCAAAGGAGCAGCCACAGCCACAGCAACAGCCACAGCCAAACCCGAGTGAATGCAACATGCAAAAAAGGTCAGCGAGAGACATTACCACATCATTACGAGACCACAGGGACCACAAGCGACTTGACCTACGAGGCAGGAGTCGGGGCAGACTGCAGTCTCCAGTTGCAGTCTGCATTCCGCATGCTCCTGCTTTGAAATTCGAATGCGTAAAACCAAAACGAGGCAACACACAACAGCGGATATGCAGCAGCAGGAGTCAGCTGCACCGAAGCGTCATTAAGTCAATTTGTGAGAGGCAAAGCGGCAACCTAATGTGCATTCGGGGACGCCAGGAATTGGCATGGGCCAGGGCAAGGGGGACTTTTATCCCAAAACATGGACACACCAATTATACCGAAATATCAACACACACGCACAAGAGTCCATTCCGCAGGCATAAGAAAGAGCAAACGCTCACCCCCCCCGAAAAAGGAGATTGCGCTTTTGCGGTTTGTGTTAAGTTGATTTCCGGCACGTCTGGGGCAGCCAGTGCCCGTCACACATTACTCTACACATGGGGCGCCTACCAAGATGTCCCTACGCCAATTATGCGTAGGGGAGATGGCTGATCCCCCCCATTGCTCCACTGCTCGTCAGCGGCATATTCATAAACAGACGATGGGCTCTCCCCTCTGCCTTGGTTGTCATTATCATCATCATGCTCATCATCGCCATGGTAATCATTGTGCTCGGCCAAGTGTTGGCCACGCCCACCCGCCGGGCCTGTCACAAGCACCAGCCAGAGTCTGCTTCCTCATTCTTCTACAACTCTCCCCTACGCTGCCCCCCCCCCCCCCCCCCCCCCCCCCCCCCCCCCCACAAGGTGTGCTGTAAATTATACGCTTTTGCGTTTAGCCTTCGCCACAGACCTGTAGTCTGGGTCCAGCCTCGGAGGAATCCCAACTGCAGACACCCCAAGCCCCGCACTCCGCTCTGTCCAAGCAGTGTCCTGCTGCCTGCCCACACTCCGCACTGCTTGGACAGTCCCGTTGCCCACGCACACTGCTTGGACAGCCCTGCTGCTGCCTGACCACACTCTGCACTGCTTGCACAGTCCCGCTGCCTGCCCGCACTCCGAACTGCTTGCACTGCCAGTTTGATGTTTTGCGGTTGTGTTGACGTTGTCCCAGTGCCCTTTAATATTTAAAGTGCGCTTTTAGGCCAGAGAGAGAAAGAGTTTGTCCATTATCCAGCCGACATGTTATTGTCCTTGCGCCTTGCGGTGCCCGGTGCCAATTAATGAGATTTTCACAACGCATCAAGCGTAGCGCAGCAGTTTAGGGTTCGGGTTTTGCCATTGTTTTCCAACAGACAAGAAGCTTGGCCCCTGAGGCATGGCAAGAGCCCTCCAAAGGGTCCTTCAGCTGGCAGTTAAGAGCTTGAACAACAGCTAGAAAAGTTTTGCAGCCAAGGCAGGGGCTTGGGCTACAGATGATGAAGATGATGAGTAGAAGTTGAGTTCCCTTTCTTTTTTTTGGCTGCTAATAACTCTCTTTTGTGGTCCTCAGGTATTGGCAGGCCTTCATTTGCATAATCCAACATTCACTTTGATAGCAGCTCGTTGCGGAAATGTTTCCTTAGCTGGAAAAACTTTCACACTTCACAGCGAGGCACAGACACATGCCACACAGGCCGCAGGCAGACACAGCCACATCCGCAGACTTAGCCTTAATTTTCATTAGCTGCAGTTGGTACTCATCCTCCCAGCAGACACGAGACTCGACACGACTCGACTCGACTCGCCTCGAGTGGCAGCAGAGACCGCAAACTTGGGGCAGCCACTGTGTCATTTGTTATGTTATTGGTTTGGACATTTTGCAAATTGCTTATTTAGCAGTGCGTAAAATCCACAGCGTCCTCTGGCTGGTAGCTCCATCCTGCCTTCCTGCTGCCTCTTCCTGCTGCGGTTCTCTTTTTGTCGAGGCCACACACACACACACACATGTCAAGGAGCAGCAGCAGCAGCAGCTTCTGCCTTGGTGTCTCTGTGTCCCAAGAATTTTTTCCATCTCCTCCATTGTTGTTGCCCTCAAAGTTAACAACGTGTCAAGCAAGCGGTTAGCTCTGCTCTGCTCTCTGCTGTCCATCCTTCTTACCAATACGCAGCAGCAGTTCCAGTATGCATAGGGAAATTGCCAAGGGGTGCCAGGAGGTCGTGGCAGGTGTCAGCCCCCTTGCCGCCCAGCCTCTAGTTGTTTGGCCCAGTGTTCGAAAACTGTCAATGCAGTACAATTTTCATCCCCTGCCCCACACACACACACCTGGAGAGTATTTTTTGTGCACCCAAACGACGACGACGGACACTCATCTGTGCCCCGTAATAATATTTGCTTTTCATTCTGTGTCATTTACTCCACCTCCTGGCTCCTCCTGGACTGCCCCCCCTGCTCGGTGTTCTTGGTGTTTTTGTGTGGCGCCTAATTGCCTGCTACATTCTGTGGCACTTGGGTGCGGCACAGGCACAGGCACCTAACTGTACGACCGACCGAGTGTCATAAACTTTTTTTTACGACTAATATTTTGTGAGGCTTTTTAATTAGGCGAAATGGTCGTTAAAATTGATTTATTGCCTGTGATGGGAATTGTTAATTGGCAGGCTGCAAAAGGGGTGCGGGGTACTGGCTTTGGGGAGGGCTATAAAATTGAATAACTCACTTGAATATGATCGATAAGGACCATAAATGTTTTTGCCAAAATTACTAATTTCCACTCTCCGCTTTTTCTCTTTGCAGCTCCCAGCCCAAAGGCTAACTTTTAAGCGTAATTAAATATAAATAATATTAGTAATAATTATAATAATAATTATTTTATGCATGCATCAAAGTCTGTATTATGTGCCATAATGCACTAAAATATTACAAGTGAATTTTAGACTCAAAGACAAAGGTACAAAAGTTGCCAAAAATTTTTGAAATAAAACATTTTTTTTTCTTTGAAATAATTGAAGGAGTTTAAGTTGTTTTTTTTGTGGTACACATTGCTGCCACAGATATTATGTACGTACTCAACATCCGCATCCACTTTATCGCTTTAAGTGACTCATGGAAAAAAGTTGGCCTGGCCCCCTGCCGCAATTGTTGATAAAGTTGCCGCAGTGCCGCGAGAGCAGGCCACCCGCTAAACGGTTGCCTCAACTTTATGCAAATTGTGCAGCGCCCATGGAATCTTCAACCAAAAACGATTAAACGTCATTAGCATTATAATAGCATTTTACTTTCGCGACTTTGGCTCTGCCAAAGCCTCTCGCCCATTCCCCTCGCTGCCAGCTCACCTTTCTCTCTGTCTCTGTCTCTGTCTGTCCCGTCCCTCCGTTTGCTCGTCCTGGATGGATGGCCAGTCATTCATCTTCATAGTAAAAACAAAAACAACAACAACAGCAGCAACAGCAACAAAAACAACGCTGTGATTACAGTTCCGTTTTAATTGTAATTAAAGCGATTATTACAGCGCACTTTTTGTCTCCTGCCCTTGGACCTGGCTCCAGTCTGCCCTCTCTTAAACTCTTCGCTTAATCTTTGCTACTTGCGACCTGCAGCTTATTTCAATTTGAAGCATGCCCCGCCCCACCCTCCTCGCGGCTAACTTTTTCTATTTTCCTGCCCGACTTTTGCCGTGGCGAGCCTAAGGGCTTTGCCTTGATGCGAAATGTGCGGAGTGAGACCAAAAATGGTTTCTTGTTGCATAGAAAAGTTGTTCTTAGTTATTTGTGGGGGGGACGTGTGGCACGAGCTTGTGGCAGCACCTGGCCAAAAAAACCTTGCAGTTGTTGCCGCGTCTTGTTGTGTCTTGAACGTCAGTGGAATTCCGCTGGCAGTTGGTTAGGCAGTGAGTCTGCTTCCTATGGTAAGTATATTAAACCAGCGTTGAGTCTTGGGAACTTGAATTTGGGCTACAGCAGCCAGCAAATGCAGCAGCCTGAGGTGCTTGGAAGTTCGCACAGCAAACGGCCAGCAAAGGTTATGTTTTAGTCACCTTTTTAGAAGATATTTGTAGGGTTCCAGGGTAATGTCTAGGATTATATTTCTGCTTAGATTATGCCTCATTTGTGGCCAGCGTAAAGCTGTTTTGGTGCCCAAAGCTGTGACTCCTTTTGCACCCTAATCGGCAGCACATACTCCCATCATTAGCCACCAAATGCTGCCTGGAATTATCTTCAAACATTTATAAGCCATCAGTTTCCCTCCTATACCAACAAAGCACTTTTTGTGCACCCCATTCTGTATCATAATTATCGCTACCGAATGCTGCCCAGCGATGTCTTCGTTTAGCTCCCAATTATCGCTTACTGGTTCCTGCATTTACTTCAACACATCTTGGGTTTCCTGCTGCACCCATTAACCTCGTTTTTCTCAGCTGCAAAGGGAGGAGTTCCTACCTACATATGTAATATGTTGCACTTAATTTACACTTTTAGCTGCTGCTGCAACTCCTAGCCATTTCTATGCTTCCTTTTTAAACGAAAAGTAACTGCAGGAATGGCAGGACAAAAAAACAACATTGCCAACACAGCCGAAACAACATTTGGTTGGGTGTAATTTTTATTACGATATTTCCCAACTGAGTTAAGTAGCAAAACTCACTTCGCATAATTACACAAAGTGTGGGGGGGTGTTGTGTGGGTCTAAAAAACTGTAATTAGTGGTGCGAAATTAGTGTTATCCTGACGGGGGGGGGGGGGGGGGGGGGAAAAAGGGGGGGGGAGGGGGGGGGGGGGGGAAACGGGAAAAAACAGAGGAAAAGGAAAAAAAAAACAAAAGGCAGAGATATTTATAA